AGCTTCAAATGAATAGGGGTATACAATAGGGGTGAATAGGGGTATACAAATCCGCAGATCCGCCCAAATTTGAAGCAAAATCCGCGATCCGACAATGGTCTTGTCTAAATTTGAATTCGCTAAAAGCTCTAGTATGAAGTCACAATCCAGGATCCGAACTAAATTGCAAGCTAAATCCACAATCCGAGCCAAAGATCCGCAAATCCGTGTAAAATATTCGCCAGATCCAGAAATCCGAACAATTTTTTCTGTGAAATCCGACGACCCCCCCCCCCACCATACAGCGACGTCCCTGGTCATAGTAACACGATCGAACGAAAACTTTGAGTTTCAAATAACAATGATTATGCAATTCTCTCATGAAAATAACTTTGGTTTTCTCTTCATTTAATGATTTTTAATAACCTAAATGAGAAAAAAGCAATTTACCACAATAATGCGCTGTCTTTATTATGCGCAAACATCAGCTTTTAAAGCAAACAATACATCAATCCATAGAAATAATATATATCGGTTTTTATGCATCATCTTAAAAGCAAACTTACCTTAGTATAGATTTTACGATTTCCAGCAATCTATTGTCCCTGATCTTCTGTTATGAAGCTATATGTTAAATAGTGTGAAATAAATTGAACTTGAACTTGAATGAAATAACCTTAATTATTTACCATATTACGGATAAATCAGCCCGAATTTTCTTGATTTTGTCTAGCAATTGCCCGAATTTCCATTGTTTTCCAATTTATTTATTTTTTGAGCTAACAATTCAATAACGTATATTCTGGGGGCAGGCAGTACTGGGGCAATTTAACAAAATCGGGTGGGAACTTTGTAGTAAACTTTTGCCCGTGGTGTGCGGGAACTTTGAGTTTGTTGTTGCCCGACCCAAAATATATATTTCTAACACTACTAAATGTGAAGTTCATTCCAGAAGAAACGCGAAGTAAAAATCTTCATATTATCACAGTTTTATTGCGAGTTGTACCGCCATTTTGTTTATTGATGTACGTAGCCGGTCGGGGCCGCCCACAATTTTTCAGTTGTTGCCCGGCGGGATACATTGCATTTATCTAATGGCATGCGCGTGACCACAAATCAGCCATATAAAAATGTGCTTATAACTAGTTGACTTTCCTCTCACACTCTCACGCACAAATACAAAAGTAAAATTAATAAGTAAATAACCTTTAGATCAAAAACAAGAAACGTTCCCATGAAAGCAAAAAGTGTCTTGTCATTAAGCCAGAAGACGAACAATATAATCAGTTACGGGAAAAATGGACAGTCTATAGCTGTGTTAATTTAGATAAATCATTCTTGTTGACTTGCTATCAATAGTAATATTTCTGTGTTAACTAATAATCCTACCGTCTATAATAACCAAGTCGCGCTGACCTGTGCATGGATGCTGAGAAACTGTATTGTATAACTGTAGTTAGACGCAGTGCTTTTCATTTTTCAAATTAATTTTAATAAATTTTCAATTTCTAGTTCTCGGTTGGGCTTATCCGCTTATGCGAGAAATTTCGGATGCAAAATCAACCAACTTTGGGTGTAAATGCTGCTGCATGGATCTTCGTTAGTACTATAGTAATGAGGTAGTGTGATCAGATTTTTCCATTACTAAACGTGTGTTAAAAATTTATGGAGAAAAGTTTACGTACCAAATTAATTTCATTCTCACTCAGAAGTATTAGCTGAATATTAGTTTGCGTGAAAAACAATAGGTTGACTAGGTTAGCCTGAAAACGCTGCACTAATTCCCACGAGGTTGACTAATTTCCTATTCCATGTTTGAAATTACCGGTCTTTTCAGGCTAGAGGTTTTTATTAATCGTAAGATACCATTCAGATACAAATTTTTACCAAAAAATTACTGAATTATTAAAATCTCTAAAAATTTTACCAAACATTTTACTAAAATATCTTATTACTAAACTTTTTCCAAAATTGATGAAATTTTACCAAAAGTAAAAAAAGATACCAAATCTGCATGGTCACACTGTTTCACTACCACTACGCTACCTTTCACTTGCTTAATACGCATTTGATTGGTTAGTCTGGTAGATTAAACGCATTTGATTGGTTAATGACAGCGGTAGTGAAAGTCAAAATCTGAACCTCTCTCAATCTCGCGCAGATTTGACCAACAAGGCGCTCTTTAACAATCCATGCAAGTCCAGGAAGGCAAGTCCACAGTCCGGACATGCTTCAATTTTGCATGCTTTGTGATAATTTGCCTGCTAGACTTGTGAACTGAGCAATCATGATTTAGTAAGGGTAGCCTGTAATATTTTGTGAATGATTATTGTCAGGGACGTCGCTATAGGGGGGGTGTAACACCCCCCCCCCCCCAATAATTCAAACGGTCAAAGTTGGTCAAAATGGAACTGATCAAAGATTTGCCCAAAGTTGGTCAAAATGAAACTGATGTTTGCTTAAAATTGAAAGTAAAACTCGGAAAAGTTTGGTAAAAACTAAAAGTTTGGGATAAAAGATGGTCGAAGTAGGTCAAACTTATGAAATGGTTCGCAATTTTAACAATTTTTAAGCTTTTGTTATGTTTGCGGTGAAAAAATTGGAAACCTTGCTTATCTTGGTCGAAAAATTTTGAATATGCTTATGTTAGTCCTGAAAAATTTTTTTGAGTATGTTTATGTTAGTCCGGAATTTTTTTTTGACTATGCTTATGTTAGGGACCATTCATTATTTATGACCGGGGGTGGGCTGGCAAAAAAGGGGGTGGGTCATGAGGTATTTTTGACCGAAAAAGGGGGGGACGTAAAAATATTAGTTCAGAAGGGGAGGTCCAGTTATTTTATTATAGTGGGGGAAAATTTGACACGTAACGATTATTGCTACAGCAGAGAGCGAGCAAGGCAGCAAATTTAATTCATGTACCTAGCAAAATTCTCAATTTTAATCAACACTGATAGATCGAAAATGCAATGCGCAAATACCCAAAATGCAATGCATGCAGCTAATATGAAAAACATGATGTGCATTTTAATAAAAAAGACACTCACGATAACGAGTAAGCATTGTAGTACAGGGCCGTACTACATTATCCATGACAAAGTGCAAAGAATGAAGATATTACCAGACATTCCAACTACTCGAGGTAAAACTTAGGGAGACTGTTCAGTGAATTGAAATCTTGTTTTTCTGTGAAAAAATTTTAAAAATTAAGTCTTCTGAAATGGCATTTCTTGCATTTTGGGAAGATGTTGTTATAAGTCATCCTATAAATTGCCATTAAGTAACTTCATAAAAAGGTCAAAACAGACTATTATGTTGCTAAAAACCGCATGTTTATGTATGAATTTTCGGGAGATTCCTGGTAAAATCGGGAGAGTTGGAATGTCTGTTAATTACCCATACTTTCTTGTAACTTTTCCAATATATTGTTAATTAAATACGCCTTTGCCCATTTAGTACTACTCATTTGTAAACAAATTGCAAATTTCGACATACTAAAACGCTGTTTTCTGACCATCAAAATTTTGTCAAATCTTTCCCAAAGTCCAGGAAATGGCATTTCAGAGACTCTAAATTTAAAAATTTCCTCGGGCCTTTGGCCCTCGTTTTCAGCCCCCAATCAAAATTCTTCTGGCCAGTCTAAAGTTAGGATTAGCAGAATTTGTTCTGATTAAATATGCATATTGTTGAAAGCACAAGTAAATGTAGATATGATGCCTGGTCATGCGTATATGTATACATTGGCGGGGGGGGGGACTATTTTTTAGAATTCATGTGAAGGGGGTCATTGAATGTTTTTGTGATGTAGGGGGCAGGACATTTTGTTTAGTTGTTAATTGAATTTTGCCAGCCCACCATAAATAATGAATGGTCCCTTAGTCCGGAAATTTTTTTACCTCCTCCCCCCATCTCCCCCCTCCGTCGACAACATTTTCGGGAAAAATTTGTATGACTTGGTCAAAATCCTAGGAAAAGTTGGTCAAAACATGACGACACCCCCCAATGTTGATGGCTTCGTGACGTCCCTGATTATTGTAACATCAATCATTGTTATAGGAAGATCAAATCTTTTAGTGACCACTATAAGTGCATGTCGAAGTTTGAACGCTACTTGGTAAACGATCGTGAAACTGAAACATCGAGATATTACAACTTCATAGTAACTGCTAAATTCTATAACTACGTTATATTTACAGTAATTGAGGGAAATCCATATCCACCATATCGAAACTAGACTTATGGTTTGATAAACAGTTATTAATGAAATTATAGGAATATTTGATAAATTTAAAGAATATTTCTGCATTTCTTTGGTAAGTTAATAGGTGTATGCTTTCGCTTACCTAGCTCCTGTTGCGGGACTCCTCTAAAAAATATGTATTCGGATAATTAATTTGGAAAAATCTAAAATATAACAGATTATAATAGTTTTGTTTGTGGAAACACCACGTAAATTTATTACTGAAAAGCTTTCGATCCGTAAGCCCAGATCTTCATCAGTGCTAATAATATATGACTTGAAATAATAATTAATATTTATGTAAAGTTGATATATAACAGATTATTAAAAAAATTGATTTTTTTAAGTGATGGATTTTTAAAAATTTGTTTTGATTTTATATCCTGTTTATAGTAGTGCCGTACGTTGTGCCACGATTGCGGACTTTCTTTAGGTTGACAGAAAATTGTAGCACATTGGTAAGGAGCAACGTTTTGCAGCGTTAAGCCTGGTTCACGCTAGCAACTCTTTCTCCTCCTGGCAGATGTGATCGAATGAATGACATGCAAAAGACTTAGAATTGTTTACTTCTGAAAAGCGACTCTATACCTTTTTGTGCTAGTTCACTCATTTGCATCCGTCAGAAACACAAAATTGTTAGTGTGAACCAGGCTTCGTTTAAACCCTTGCATGGGCTCTTTGTTCTATGTAGTAGTTTTTGTACAGTAGGAACATCATATATAAATACTACATAGCTTAATCCCCCCTGATCACAGTTATTTTAGTTCTGATCCCAGTTATTTTAAAAGGAAAGATAAAATTCGTCTTCCTCATCAATGCGTCTGAGTGGAACTCCTGCTGCACAACAACTACAGCAAGGCGGACACCACGTTTGTCCATGCGGATTCACAGCACGGGGCCTGGTGACTGGAAACACTTGCGGTCGTTGTGGATCATATGAGTATTTTATGAGAGATTGGTCGTTAACCGCCGATATCCATGATTTGTTCATACTGGGATAATAGCGTTGTGAAGCAAACAACGTCTTCTCGCTATTTTTTCGTTCTTTTCTGTTTTTTGCACGACGATTTTTAAACCATACCTATATTGAAGATGAGGAAGCATTAATACTCTACTAGAAATACATGCATGCAGCAACCCCTTGACTTTTCAACCAAAAACGTCCGTATAACGCGGGAAGTTGTCTCGGGGATCAATATACTGAAATAAATATTGGGCCCAATATTTATGAGTTTCATTCACGTTCAGAAAGATGCATTCAGCTTAAATTAATCAGCTATATATAGTTCAGTCCACTGATTGACAAGTTTATCTTCTGGCTAACATTTTAAATAATCGCTGCAGCTTGTCACGTATTTTGCCAAGTGTGGAAAAGATTATCATCCATTTAACATGGAATTTTAATTGCTAAAGATATTGCTCTAGTAAGCTGGAGCTTAAAATGAGATGCATGTGTGCATGTAAGCGCTTGCAGCGAGTAGTTCTTCATGATAAAGAGACAAACCTGTATCTTTGATTCAACCAAGTTCATGCATCTTGCCAGGTTTTCTCTCATACAAATATCAGGATAATGTGTTTGTAAGAATACATTTTCCAAAGTCATCAATTGATGGGAAGTAAAGGCAGTCCTAGTTCGACGCTTGCAATTTTGATGCTCTCTTCCAACACCACATTTAGCTTCCAGGATTATTTCTGAATTAAAACAGTCAGTGTCATGTTTGCATTTTTGTATTCAAACAATGTTTAATCCAGTGGCGTAACAGTGCATGTGCTAATGGCCCTCTGGCTAAACTGATGAGGACATCCTTGTCCTTCTCATTCAAACTGTCGACGGGAGTTGCTAGCCAAGAACATGTGAAACTTGCTAAAATACTTCAACTAAAATACCTTGCTAAAATACTTGTCATCCTTGCTCGGCGGTCCCTAATTGACCTGCGACCCCCGACTGGAGCCGGGCGGCGCCAAAACGAGCTAAACCACTGATAAACCAGGGTATAACTCCAACTCAGTATATTGCTTGTTTAATTAAATCGGAGCCCTAGCTGGAACTACCTATCTGATCTCCACACTTGTTCATTCTATGCACAAAATGTCCATTCTATGCAGCTACGTATCCAAAACTGTGGAAGTTGAATTTCTGACCTTTTTCCAGGTAATTTATATAGAATATCCACAGTATGAAACTGGGTATCTCATATTTTTCAATGCAATCAAAGGTACGTTTACACGCTGCGATTTGTCCAACATGAGCTCCACCTTTGAATTTACTATATGAGTAAATTCTTAAACACGTCCGCATTTATCATCATGATAAATTCGCGGCACATTTTGAATTTATCATAATAATAAATTCGCAGCACGTAACACTAACGGCCAAACCCTAACCACTAACCCCTAACCACTAACCCCTAACCCTAACTTTTTTAACTTTTTTGAAAATCTAACTTTTTAAACTTTTAAAACTTTTTTAAACTTTTAAAACTTCTTTTAAAAACTATTTTTTTGAAAATGTCGCCATAAACTAAATATAGTTACATCAGTAGTTTCCATACGCCAGAATACGTATCGTTAATGTAATGACCTCCCCCCAGCACCTTCTAATTACCCCCAGTTCAGAGGCACTGAGCAAAGTATGCTCATGCCTTCTATTTATAATCCCCGTCTTTTATGAATTAAATCATTTCTCATTTCTTGGTAACTATAAACTTTCGGAGAATTTCGGAGTGATTTGAGTACGTTAATTCATAATTATATAATATTCACTGATAGTGGCGTGTATGCTGTAAGAAAGTTCCGCCTGACTGAAGTACATTATATTCGGAATTTTCCAGCATGAGCTCTACCTTTGAATTTACTATATGAGTAAATTCCACGTCCGAATTTATCATTATGATAAATTCGCGGCAAATTTTGAATTTATCATAATGATAAATTCGCGGCACCTAACACTAACTACCCCAACCCCAACCCTAACCACTAACCCCTAACCCCTAACCACTATAAACCCCTAACCCTAACTTTTTAAATTTTTTAAACTTTTTTAACATTTTTAAAAATCTAACTTTTTAAACTTTTTTTGCTTTTTAAAACTCTTTTAAAACTTTTTTAAAAACTATTTTTTTTAAGAACTTGAAAAACGTCCCACCCCCTCGCGACCGGCCTTCCTTCCAGTGCCATTACATTTATAACAAGGAACCTTGTCTAATGCTTGTGGTTTTATGATTAACTCTATTGATAAATTCAAAATGTGCCGCGAATTTATCATAATGATAATTTCGGACATAGTAAATTCAAAGGTGGAGCTCATGTTGGAATTTTCCAATTAGGCTAGAAAGTAAACCAACCAACGCTCCAACCAACTGAGCTACCATGCAGTACCAGAGTCCAGTTGTCGAGCTCTAACCGCAAGTTCACGTATATAATAATATACTAGAGTAGTATAAATATCAAGATTTTGTAGTATTTTGTTGGCATCTGAGTCGACGATTGAATTATAGTTGGAGGGTTTTGCTATATGGTGCAAGGGTATTTAATTAGTAACAAGACGCCTAGGCGCTCAGGCGTTCAAACTGGCCTGAAAATGGCAACTTTCGTGGTACTGGGTGTAATGTGTAGTAGAGAAATAGATAGGGATACAGGATCATAGGGATACTGGATCATATAAATACAACCAATAAATACAATCATGATCAGCATCTATCAACCATAATATACCAAGACGCCGGCTCAGACGTACCCTCCGGCTACGGGCAACTCAACCTGACAAGCCAGGCCCACTGTAATACTATGATCATCAACTACCAACCGTAAATAATGACGGGCCAATAATAGCGAAGAAATTATGGTCCTTGATTTTTAATGCCGTTATATGGCTAGTTTCAGGTGCTAAAAAGTTCATAGACGTAGACGATTGAGTCCCGCACGATTCTTCTAAAAAATACGCCAATTTGCTTCCATTTATAAGATAAACTGATCCCAACCCAAAGCCCTTCTCTAACCCCAACCAGTAAACATCTAATAAACAATTTGAGAATTAAAAAAGTGTGGGGGGGGGGGGAGTTGGATCTTGTTCCAAAAACAAATCGAACCGTATCATGTTTCAATTCGCCGCACGCAACGCCACCTCGCTGAATACAATCGAAAACATACATTTTATAGTAATATATGATGAATTAGAAAGTAATTTGGCGCAAATTAATGTAATTAGGTGCAAATTTATAATTATGCAAATAAATACAAGAGCACAACGCATGTTTATGAGCCTACGTACAGCGTATATTTATACTTGTTAATTAAAAAGTCAAACTGTCAAACCTTTAACTTGTCTTTGTTTATATTCCACTATATTGTATAAATTCGCTGGGTCCAAATTTTGGGGTTTTCGAGTCGTTACACAAAGAAAAACACTAATTCAACACGCAATAAAGGCCAGAGTGCGACACAACGTAAAATCCATAGGAAATCGGCACAATTCTTTGAAAATTCAACGAAACTGTGTGAACTTTATATTAGATCGCTCAGTGAAAAGCCGCCATTTTGAAACTGAACTGAATATGTCACTGGAGCACGTTGCACCCTGAGCCTGCGATGACCAAACGCAAACTCCATTTCTCGTCGAAAACAGAAAAAGAGGGATTTAAGACACTTGGCCTACAGGCCAGTGTAACTAGAATTAGGATTGTCATAGTTATAAGCTAGATTATAGGAATGATTAAAGCATATATAGGCATAGCGCGTGAGCTAATTGTAGATTGTGCCGAAAAAGTGCCATGCATCTAAATCATCTTGCACTGTAAATTCCAAGGATTGCATGTTGAATCAACTCCAGTTTTAAATTCTGTGACAGAATAACTCTTTTGGAGTTGATTAAACTCCTTGAAATTCACAGTTCTGGACATATGCAAGTGTATGCCTGTATAGTGTGTAAACACAATGGCGATATCTCGTTCTTACATCTACCATCTGCTGCAGCATGTACGTAAGCAAAATGGCGAAGGTGTGTCTATATTTTCACATAAATCAAATTCTAACCATATATCATCTTTATTAGACAGCAACTAGTCAACGATTCTCCATCTGGATTACTTTTCAAGTGATTAAAGTATTCGTTAAGCCATTTTAAGCTTTGGCTAAGCTTTTTATCATAGCGCACGCGTTTTTCTTGATCTTTTATTGAATCGAGTTTAATTTAAGAATTATAAGTGGTTGACCTCCCGAGTTTGCATTGTATATTTATTTTATATATACCTGACAAAATACATCAATAACAAACTTTAACTTCCAATGAAGTGAAAACTTGTTGTTATACTCAGTAATAATATTTGTTTCACGGTCAGCGACATAACACTCATGTCGCTCATCATTTTCTTATCATTTTCATATCTGTATTTTACTTGTGAACGTTCCGACGTATGATTATATGTCGAATTTCAAGGTGGCTAGTGTCTCCAAATGTCTAAGAACTATCTTAGAATGATTTATAACGTATTATGTTTCATCTGTATATCGACCAGCATATCCACACAATTTCGAAAACGGATAAATGAGACTATATATAAAAATATATATATATACTTGTATATATATTAATGAAGTAGTTTCTCCTTTACGTATATAATATGCCCTTTGTCTTAGAGCTCTTAGGCGTATGTAGAAGTTGTTCACAAGCAAATCTTTGCTTGATTGATTTTGATGAAAGAGCCTGATCACTCTGACTGTTTCCTTACATGCATGCATTGTCCGCGGTATAGTTTTGCAATTAAACAATCATAAATCACTTCATATACGTTAATGAAGCATTGAAGCTATTCAGTATATATCGCTGCATACATGCTGTGCACGGAATCCTGTTTATATCTTTAATTTTCGTTCCACTATTATTCTGATAACTAACATTGAAATCATGTAATATAACTCAAAGATCAAGTTGAATAACGTGGTGTAACTTGTCAGTGAAGTATCTATATACAAAAGTCACCTGCCTATGTCAGTCCCTTGTATTAGTGCAGTATAGACTATAGAACTTTACTAAAAGTGCAATGCATGAGCTTTGTGCCCAATCAAGTTTCAATGATCTTGCATGCATGCACGCCCCCTACAAATTTTAAAATCTTGCAGCAACTCCTTATAAAAGGACTATATATAGCTATAAGAATTATGAAGCATTATATGGTTAGACCTAACCAGGAGGAGTTGCGAAAAATGCAACAATACGTCCTCTGGCAGGAACCGACCTGCGGCCCCATGCAGATGATTCTGGTGCGACGCTCTAACCAACTGAGTTAACAGAGGCCATGCCGAGTTTCGAACTCTAACGCAAATGTATAACTCAGTTGGTTAGAGCGTCGCACCAGAATCTTATGCATGGGGCCACAGGTCGGTTCCTGCCAGAGGACGTATTGTGTTTCATCTGTATATCGACCAGCATATCCACACAATTTCGAAAACGGATAAATGAGACTATATATAAAAATATATATATACTCAGTGTATATATATTAATGAAGTAGTTTCTCCTTTACGTATATAATATGGGTAAAAATCAGGATTTCGGGCATCTCACTCGACGCAACTAATTGAAGAAGGGTTTGTAGATGGAAATTTCGATATACAGTACAAATGTATAAAATTATTTGTAAAATTATTGATTGAAAATTATTTTATATTCATAAAAGACGGGACCGTCTATGTTGTCAACAGATCGCCACCATGCCAATTACATTTCAAATGAATTTCAATTGTATATAGTGGGCCAAGAAACGCGGAAAGTGTAAGTATATAGATTGTATATGTTCTACTGTATTCCGAATGTCTTCTGTCCATGATACTAGTATTTTATTCCTTTATATATAGAGTTTGCAATGTTGAATATTGAAAACATATACTCGTCTTTATAATTTGTATAGATATATAATGTGCTGAGCTTTGTGTTAATAATAAAAATAGATATAGAAATTTGAAAGCAAATTAGTATATATGAGCTTATACCATGATCGTATAATATATAGATAATTGAGAATTAAATTGCCCGAACGTATTCTAATTAAACTGTAATTTTTGAAAGATCCATGTAATCCATGTTCGGTGGAATCATTGTTACTCTTAATTTGACATCACTCTCTTAAAATTACCGATTTTTCTGGGAAATTATTCTAAACTACCAAAACTACATCTTTTAATATGTACCTGCAAGTTTCTCTGCTAAATGCAAGGCTTTGGTCGAGGGCGTTGCCGTTTGGGACACTGCATTCTCAGAAGGTTTTGTAGAAGGTTTCAGTAAGTTCACAATCGCATATGAGGATGTTGACGCCATCGCAAGGTAATCTATTTAATAGGGACAAACATGGAGTGCATTCTGTTCTTAAAAGCTTTAATGAAAGCTTCAATCTGGATGACATTAATAATCAGTTGTCTAAACCCTGGATTAATGATCTCGTGTTTAATACCTGATGGCTGTCAGAATGTTTTTATAATCTTTTAACAGGAATTACTGGATTCCATTTTGTGAAATGCTGACACAAGACCTCCTAAACTTTATATCAGTAAAACGTTCACCTTATGTTGCATGGTTTAATATATAGAGATTAATATTGAGAGATTAGGAGGCGCAACATTAGGCTATACAATCTCGAACAAAATATCATAACCATGCAATGTTTTTATAACAACAGGTTCCTTTATACCTCAGCCCAAAGAACTAACATTCATTTGGGGGAACGAATGAGAACACCCATTGACGACATTTACGTTTCATATACAGCATGCCAATGGAGTAATAAATAATAATTCCTAAACATTCTGCATGAAATCACCTTGTTGGTTGTGACTAAACATTATAGCAGGAACTGTGGCGTAGGAGTTGGGTAGCTGTCGCCCACTTTACGTATATTTAAATAGACTTTGATATTTTTACCTGAAAAAGGCTGAAGTCAACTTTCATTTGAGTGTATTGTCAGAAATATAGATGCTTTGGCCATGCACAACCAAAAAAGTGAATTTCCACCACCGTATAAATCCAAATTATGATGACTTATAGCCCAATTAAATGTAGAAGTTTAATTTTAATTTGAAGCCAGAATGCACTGGCCCTTTTTTATTAGAGGTTTACCCAATTTATTTGTTATATTGATTAACAGGGATCGAAAATTTCTCAGCATTGGCAGTTTCTTTTTAGTTTTCTTTACCTTTACCTTTGAGTTCCTAATTAAAGTTAATCACTTTTTAGTAAACTACTAAACAACAAGGAGGGGTAATATATAAAGATATCACACACAGTCATCAGTTGCAGGACAATTTACATTACTGGTTAATTGAAATAAACCATGATGAAAAATAATGACATTGGGTAGACATCAACTCTCTTATTTTTTATTATATAATCCTCAGAGGTCAATATGTAAGCATTGATATATTTATATTAGAAAAGTGTTTCCAAAATTTCATGTTAGAAACAGATGGTCGCAAGAATATTTCCACGTTATAAATTCTTATCAAAACTGCGAGAGAGTAACCGGAATTTAAAACATCTGCTAATATAACGAGCGGCAACAATTATCTACTCAATTATCAATGTCCAGATGTTGAAATTTGATGTAGCAATTCCTTTATAGCAATTGTGTGTAATTACCACTGACCTATAAAAACTATGTACATATAGTAACTTAACTGGACTTTTACTATTAATTGCGTTGCATCTATTTATTTTAGTTTTTACTGACACTCATACATCTATAACCTTCTGGTTCATACAGCGGCGTAGCCAGCTCGATAATGGGGCATATTTATATATCGGTTTTCTGCATTATTAATTTCTGGCTGCGACGCTGCCTTGATACAGTCAATGAATTAACTGTCCGTTGTAAATTTATCCAGGCTCTGGTACATATTCAATTGCACACTTCTATCGTCTACTCTCAACTTCCCGGCGCATAGTGTTGGCCAGGGCCTCCATGGCCAGGGCCTCTTTTAAGGATGTATAACTGGGGGGGGGGCATATTTCGCGGGGGACCTGGAGAAGTTTCAGTCGGAAAGTCTATCACTCAGCTACCAGCATATATATGCGTGGTTTAACTAATAAGTATACGTCAATGGGCAGCAGATCAGGCCCGTAATTCAGTCTCTTACCCAGGCGCTTTAGAGAGAAAATATATAATCGCGAGATCAGGGCGAGCGCGCAGGGGTGCTTGTGGAGGACGCAACCGCGTCCTCCCCAAGCACCCCTGCGCGCTCGCTCAGCTAAGGTCACTGATCTCTATATAGTAGCTTAGCGCGATCATATATTTTTTTCTCTAAAGCGTCTGGGTACGAGGCTGCCCGTAACTATAGGATTCTGAGACAACCGAGACGAGCACCGAAGGCCTGCGAGCCGTCTAGAAGGGTCTGGGGGCATTTCCCCCCAGAAAATTTTGGATTTCCTAAAGCTCAGATGAGCTATTTCCAGCATTTTGAGGAGTGTTCCAACAAGAAATTAACCTTATAAACAGTGACACAATTACTGCAATTCTACAGTCTCAATAAGGCAACATGATGTGATGATGCGGTAATGAAAATGTGCGTGGTATAGTATTAGAGAGTTTTAGCTTGACGTTTACGGCAAACGTCAAACCGCTAACGAAGTTTTTGATTTTACAATTCTGTTATAACAGCTTTTACACCAATTTTGAAATGTAAACAATTATTAAACTTGTGCTCTTTAGCAATGATTTAAAAGAAAGCAAATTAACCACTAGTCACGTATTCGCGAAAGCAGTAAATTAAAATTTGGCGTTTGAAGTTTACGTTTGGCGTATAAAATTCATGCTTGAACTGCTATGAGGGCTTGTATAGTCGTTAAAGCATGAAATTTATACGCCAAACGTAAACTTCAAACGCCAAATCTTAATTTCCTGCATTCGCGAATACGTGACTAGTGGTTAATTTGCTTTCTTTTAAATCATCGCTAAAGAGCACAAGTTTAATAATTGTTTACATTTCAAAATTGGTGTAAAAGCTGTTATAACAGAGTGGTAAAATCAAAAACTTCGTTAGCGGTTTGACGTTTGCCGTAAACGTCAAGCTAAAACTCTCTATTATCATTCACCACACTTCAAATTCTACAATACTGTATTACATGTATTGGCCGGGTACCTGACATCGACGCATTCGTCTTCTCAGTGTCACTGAAAAGCAAGATAGGGTGGTCTCTTTGGAGTATCTTTGCTTGGAAAAAACTAAACTAGAATTTCGTCTTAAAATGCCATTTCATGCCTTTTTCCACGAGCAAATTATTTCAGCCATGGTTTGGGTTTCTGGCGATGTTTAACTTTCAGTCCCCAAATTTCTACCGAGTCAACTGACTCGGTTGACTCATAGCTAGTTACGGGCCTGCAGATGATGGTCACATTCAGAAATGTTAACAACTTCACATCATTTTGCCACTTTGATATATAATTGCTGGTTGACCACCTATTGCAGGTAGTCTTGGGGACCTACAGTCTCCCCCAGTCTATACCGTAAACCTCCGACTATAAGCCCCCCGAATATAAGCCCACCCCGTGTATAAGCCCAGAGGCGCCGGAATATCGATAATTGGGAGGGGGCAGATATTCATATATTCGTGTTCTGCCCAATAAATTTCTTTTGAAATCGATTGTTTTTACAGTCTGTGAACACGAATATATGAATATCTGCCCCCGCAATTATCGATATTCCGGCGCCTCTGTTAATAAACCCACCACATGTACTAACGCTCACCTCATTCCAAATATAAGCCCCGAATATAAGCCCACCCGAATATAAGCCCCCCGAATATAAGTCCCCCGAATTAATATACGCCCAGTAATCGCTGCTTAATACATGTTTATTTTCCTGTTTATGGCTGACTTGTTTATGTCTCACTTGTTTATTGTATAAGCCCACCATGTATAAGCCCACTCGTATATAAGCCCACCCTTGTATAAGCCCATCAAAAATCGCTTACGAAAGTATATAAGCTAAGGGCTTATAGTCGGAGGTTTACGGTATATGAATATACCCCCCCCCCAATTCTCGCGCTAGGAACGGCCCTGCTCACTACTGTTCAAAACAGTTGAAATCATTCAAATCTATACTGTATATCGATGATTTCATTCACTAATCAGATCTTGCATACAAAAAAATGAAGTGAACTGAAAAATGAAGTGAAATTTTTTCCTCACTTGTGACATCATTTTATTGTCATATCAGTCAAGTAATTATAAACTGGAACCTCTTTTAATATATAATACTTAAGGTTTGTCGCAAATACCCTTTAAAGCTTTGCAATATATAATGCTATTATTTGTCGGCATCGGCCAGTTGATTAGTCAACTATTAGTGAGGTTTAGATTTAACTGCCACCACCACTATACCAGTAACTTTCACTTAGACGCATCTGATTAGTTAATCGAAAGAATTAAATCGGTTGGTGGTCCCTTAATGCTAGCGGTAGTGGTAAACTAAACCTCACAATTATTATGACCGTACGTCGGAAATTGCAACCTCATACCCAAGGCCTTTGCGCCTTTCAGAGGCTCTGAACCGCGCAAAGGCCCTGGGTAGGAGGTTGGGAAATCGCATGGGAAGCGAGATTTTAGCACAAGCCACTGCTAATTCGATTTTTTCCAGTTGTCATTAATAATTCATGAGCAAACACTGGAAATTTTTTTCAAAATCCTTACTATGGAAGTAGTATGGATCTTCGCTGGTAATAGTATGGAAATCCATTTTTCATATTAATTGCAATTTTCATACTATGGATATAGTATGTCTATGGATTCAGTGATGCAATTGCAAATGCCATTAGTATGGATTTCCAGTGAAAACATGTCAGTGCCATAAATTGACAACACTTTCTCGTAAAATAGACCTTACCGTTATTCACTTTTCACCCAATGGCCTTGTTTTCGTGTCAAATACTTACTCATGTTTTGTGCTTAGTAGGGTTGAAAATTACTTTGTTATTGAGCCTAAGAACAGCAAGAAACAAATTCGTCCAGGAAAACGACATGGGAATATAATCTTTGTCTGCCCCTGACATGCTAAAATAACATGGAAACGAGGCCATTGGGTAAAAGAGAATAATCGGTAAGGTCTATTCTATTTAAAACCTAGTTAGTCACATGGGAAGCTAGAACTAGACGAATTCGTTTATTGTAGGGATTCGTTTCAATGTTTGAAATCCCTAAACCCCTTCTAACAGCAGGCCTCGAAATAAGTGCCGGTCACCGGTCACTGACCGGTAAAATTTCACAGTTTGACCGGCGAATATCTTCGCCTGGCGGACATGTGTGACCGGTAAATTTTGTAATAAAAAGTACGTTC